AGATCACAGTCAGCTAAAGTGGCCTGCAGTACTGCACCTTAACCACTGCGCCACCTCGGCTCTTATAGTTTTATAAGAAGTCAAGTATATTGCAGTAATGCAAAGGCAGAAGTGAATATTGTGCACCAAAATTCCTAAATTCAAGTATTCCCTCCCTTAGCTACCTCCCATTGCCCATTCCCAGTGTAATCAATCCGATTCAGGCAAGATGTTTATTTAATGGCATAGGTGGCCCCCTCCTTCTTCCAGTTGGGTGACCCTTGAGGCAGCATCTGGAGGAGATACAGCACTTACTTTCATTTTCCCCTAAGCCTTTCCCCTTTTATTCCCCCCTCCTCATAGTTCATGGCAGTCTATCACTATATAGCAGTAAAGCAGAAGGTGGCAGCTGACACTTTCCTTTACTGTTTACATTCTGTCCTCTGTGGCTGTTAATGATTTACTTAACCATGTGAAGGCAGGGAAGGCTGAATGCCAACACTTTCACTTGAAAATATTCCAAGGATTTTTTTAAACAGAGATTTAGAAGGCTGGATTGGCAATGAGCTTGCAGTGGCATGTTGTGATGACCTTGATGCTGGGAAGAAGCATGTTGGGAAGCAAGATGTGGAAGGAGCTTTAGGAGAAATACTTTCACCAAAGTCCAAGTTGACGTCCTTCAGAAGTGTTAGACGACCATTTTCATAACCCTCAGCCGTAGGGACATTTAGCTGGTCTGGCTGGGAATGATGGGACATGTCAGCCCATGTTTTTGGAGGATACCAAGTTGCAAATATATTTGCTTGTCGCATTTGGAAAATCCTGGATTGGAAATCACTCATTTGTGTGTATTTGTCTAATATGCAATACCACTTTGGCCATTTTGGTGACCCAGATTTATTAATCTGGTTAAACAAAAACCTATTTTACAGGCTGACCTAAATCTGCTTCCACATAATTTTGTGGGGTTTTTATCATGCAGTTGCTTCTGTTGAGAACTCATTGACTTCATTCACACATTGCTCTTATGTTTGGCTTATTGAATAAATTATTCAATAAGCAAGAGCAAGAGCATTTAGACTCCCTAAGCAGTTTTACAGAGCCAGCATATTGCGCCCCACCTCCAACACTCTGGGTCCTCATTTTATCCATCTTGGAAGGATGGAAGGCCAAGTCAACCTTGAGTCTGGTGCAGTGGTGAAATTCACATTTTTTTTACTACCGGTTCTGTGGGCGTGGCTTGGTGGGCGTGGTGTGGCTTGGTGGGCGTGACAGGAGAAGGATACTGCAAAATTTTCATTCCCACCCCATTCCAGGGGGAAAATACAGCACAATCTCCATTCTCACCCTACTCTGGGGCCAGCCAGAGGTGGCATTTGCCGGTTCTCTGAACTACTCAAAATTTCCACCAGCAGTTCTCTGAACTACTCAAAATTTCCGTTACTGGTTCTCCAGAACCTGTCAGAACCTGCTGGATTTCACCCCTGGCCTGGTGGGATTTTATCTGCCAAATTGCAGTCAGAAGTAGCCTACAGTATTGCACTCTAACCACTGCGCCACTGCGGCTCATGGTTGTAAGTTGACGACTATCTGTAACGATTCTGTAATTTATAGGTAGTGTCATTGTTCTCAACAGAGAAATTATTATTATCTTTAATTGGACGGATGGTTTTCTTCAGTCTGGGATCTAACCTGTCTCCTTTTTTCTTTCTTAATACCCCCACCCCCTCTCTCCCTTCCTTTCTTTTCTCTCTCTCTCTCCCCACCCTCCATCTCCCACTGCCAGCTCCCTGAACCGCTCTGAAAACAGCCACTGATCGCCGGTTTCTGCTATGTCTCCCCAACCATTGGGCCTCTACTTGTGTCTTGAGCACTTTCTAGCAGCAAGATTTGAATTTCATCCAGTTTCTTCATTCTCTTCTTTTTAATAAGCTTTATAGGTACAGCCTATATGGATGGGCACAAGCCTATAAAGAAGTAGGCTTATTTATATAACATTAGGTGTGCCTAAAAGTTTCACTTTTTTAACATCCCAATTTCCAAAAGTGCTTAAGTGGAACATTATTGTGATTGGGATGAGTGGATTCTCCCACTTGATTCTTTTGTCTTTTAGATCCAACTATTTATGAAGAAATCCTTTAGTTCCTAACTGGTTTAAGTTTACAGCCTGGAAATGATTAGTGCTGATTTGTTACCTGGCATTACGGTAATATAAATGGATGCCTGCTACAGCATGGATTTTGCCAATGACCCGCACTATGCCTAAATTAATTTAATTTAATCTAAATTAGATTAAACTAGAGGGCACCCAAGTCCAGATGATTCTGGGTACCTTAGATTAAAAAAAGAGAGAGCAAGAACAATAAAAAAGAAACAGAATACAAGCGTCCAGAAGGGAAATCTGGAACTTAAAGATGGAAAGGGTAAATTAGTTGTCAGCCATAAATTATTGTTGAACTACATAAGGATTCTCTTTTTGGGGGGCCTGATAGCCAAAGGAGTAACTCTTATACTGTATCAGATGTGGGCCAGATGGTTTTTACAGTGAAGGTTTTATTTTATTTAATTAGTACTGATACTATTGCTACTTTGTGGATGAGGGCCATTTCTAGTGTTGGCTTTAGATCTTGAAGATAATGTATGTTGTTTTTTCAGAGAGTTGAATGTGAGTTAGTAGAGGCATTGGTACATGTGTTGTTGTCTCTAGTAAATGGTTTCAGAGAGTTTGTAGCAGGTCGGAAACCTGCCTTTTATTTACTTGGTTGTTAAAAGAATAGATAAATCTTAAGTAAGATCACAAAGGAATATTTCTCATCAGATTTTGAATGAAAAAAAATTAAGAGCGTAATTGAAAGCTTTACAAACTGTCATTGAGCTACTATACTACTAATATTTCACTGAGGTTTATTTATATACTGGTGTTTGGCAAGTAATCTCTTTCAACCTAAAAGACATTCTGTTTACGAAAAGATGTAAAAATGATTCTCCATAGGATCTCGGATTCAGAAATGAACCATGGAAATGAGAAAAAAACCCATGTATAAGAGGACAGTGTTCAGTTGTCAGTTTAAATTTACTTTAAATTTAGATACACAGTTCCTGACCAAGGGAAAGAAAAACTGCTAGATACTGTCTTTCCCTATAATCATATTATTCTCTTTCTCCCCGTCTCACTCACTTTCAAACACACATATTGAGATTACATGTAATCTAATGAGAAATATTCTTTGACAAGCTTGTCTTGGTCGGTCTTGAAAGTACCTTTGAACCCTTTAAATAGGGCTGAGTTAAAGCACGTGGCTGGTAGTCTTTTTTTTAAGAAAGAAGCAGAAGTTTACTTTTTTCATTAGGTCTGCAGCAAAGTTTACTATTTATTATAAAACCTGGTTGTATTTAAGTACTGTAAGGCTTTCTCTTGGACTTGGTACATTGGATTTTGGTACCAAAATTTACCATTGAGTTCTCTGTCATTTTAAAAGACTAATGGTGATAATAAATCATGGTCATTATCTTAGGATCTGGTGGAAAGACCAAGCATGTGCCAAGGTCTGAATGAGCAGCCTTGATTCCTCACAAGCCACATGTGAACTCTGTTTTTTAAACCTGCCAAATGCTGCAAGAATCATTAAAAATCGGTGCCATTGTAATGTAATACTTAACATAGGCTGGATATAGTTGGAAAGCCAAAACAGATCTCTCAGTTCTGATCCAATGCTAGGAGGGTCAGAGTTAGGAGGGCTGCATTAAAATACATACTAAGGCTCTCCTGGGATCCAGAATGTGCCAGTGGCAACATACAGTGGGGCAAAAAAGTATTTAGTCATCCACCAATTGTGCAAGTTNATCACTTTCCACCTGTGACTTTACTCCCAAGTCGACCCTGATTTCTTAGCTGTTCTTTTCTTCTGGCAGCTCTGTGCATGCACACACTGGGAACAAGCTCCAGCTGTTCCTCTGCCTCACTGCTGTCCAGCTCCGTAGGCACCTGATCACTGCCAGATGGCCTCAACCTCGTCTCTGCCTCCGACACAGAGCCCTCATCAGAGCCTTCCCCAGACTCCAGGACTGGCCCATGCTTCTCCCCAATCTCCTCACTGTCTGACTCTGCTACCAGCTCTGCTGGCTGCTGGCGGGCCACAACAGAGCCTACATGCGTGGCTTTGTAAGGAGCCAGATAAAAACAATGATAAAATAGTTAAAAGGTAGGGAGAGGGGCATCAAGATGCCAACCACCCCCAGGGTTGCATGCTGTTCATTGTGTCCCATGTGAGTTGGCAGAGCCAGGTCTTCAAACTCCTTTGAAAGACCAGGAGAGCGGGGGGCCCACCTGACCTGGAGAGAGAATGTTCCACAGGGCCAGGACAATGGCAGAGAAGGCTTCCTTCCTGGATTCCGCCAGTGAAAATTCTTTTAACTGACGGAGTCCATAACATATCCTCTCTGTCTGACCCGGTGGGATGGGCTGACATAATGGAGATGAGCTGTTTCCCCAGGTAGCCTGGCCCCATGTCTTATAGTGCTTTGAAGGTAATAACACCTTGAATTGGACCTGAAAGTAAACCAACACCAGCTTCTATAGCAAAAGTGTTGTATGTGCCATTCTTGGGATGCCCAAAATTGCTTGCAAATCTGCATTCTGGTTCTGTTAGATGAACTTAGCTTGATTGGGATAGGAACAATATTTGGTGTCCGAGAAAAATCTAAAACTTCTTCCAGTCAGGAAGAATCGAAATCCTGAAATTTGATTCTGCAGGAATCAGAGAGATCTGAATTGGCATTTTCTAGGAAGAGCTTTTGTATGAAAACTATTCTTCCTAGACTTCATTATCAACTTTAAAACACGCCAGCTTCATGTTATTCTCATTATGTGAGGAAGGTGAGAAACAGTGGAGCAGAGGGAAAGGGATTTTTCAACTTATTCTTAACTTGAGTTCTTTTTAAGAAAGACAGTCTTCCAATAATGAAGAAAAGCAGGCTGGGTTCTTTAGGCCTCTTTTGCTGCTGATCTGGGTCTGGAAACAAAAACCTGGGAAATAAAGATTGTGATTTCTGTGTTTTAATTAAACTGTAAGACTAGTAAGATGAGACTAGTAGAAAGATTTATTTATTGTTCACCTATAGACAGAATTTTGCCAGACTAAATCAACTATCTGTATAACTATTACATACACTCTGTGAACTGCCAGAGAGGCTCTGCCTTCACACTTTTCCTGCCTACCAGAAAGTCTCTTTGTCCTCTGGGAAGGAGCCCTTCCCTCTTGTGACTCTTTATTCTACCACAACTAATTAGTAGACAGTAAGATTTAGATTAGCAGACAGATTCATCTTCTGTGTACTACTGGGTTATGTTAAAGTCGGCTAAGCGTAAGCCTGCTTAGGCAGTAATCTTATTTCTGTACATTTCTGTCTGCTCTTCTCCTGTCTGATAAGTTATATTAAATCTGGTTAAGAACTGAATTGTATTTTCCCTTTTGTTTGTTTCCTCTTTCTTGTAGTCTTGAAGGAGGAGACTGAACCACCTTGGCCCTTCAACCAGTCTCGGGCACTGACCCGCTCTAGCAGTGTGGGGAATTCTCCAGTGCGAGGCTGCCTCAAACCTTTTCTCAACGAGCAAGAGTTGCTGAAGAACTTGCGCCTCTGTCCCCCACATGCAGCTGCCCAACACTTGATGAATGGTGATCCGGGCAACTTGCTTTCACAGAGGCGGAGAACCAGGTAGGAAGGGAGAGGCACTTTGCAACTTTCTGCTTTGCTCACAGGGCTAATGGGATGTTGCAACCCCAATCCTGCAGTAGGCACTTAAATAGCAATAGCAGTTAGACTTATATAGACTTTCAGCCCTCTCTAAGCGGTTAACGGAGTCAGCATATCGCCCCCACAGTCTGGGTCCTCATTTCACCCTCCTCGGAAGGATGGAAGGCTGAGTCACCCTTGAGCCGGTCAGATTTG